AATTACTGCATTGCTAAATCCACCGTAGTCTCAGATTTGACCACACACAGATCTTCGATATACACTTCCTCTCCATATGTGTGCACTGAAGCGTGTAGGGAAGTGAGGGAGAGATTCCAGAGAGGGTTTAAACTTGGATGGCGTCACAATATACAGTAGCAAGACTATTTTAGGCAGGGAGACTAACTGTCGCTTATGTGTCACGAAAACCTTATAAATGCCTTAAATGGCCACAGTGGCTTGAAATAAATGTTGTGTGGGGGGAAAAAAAACAATAACTCCCTGTGGCAAACTCTGAATGTTTTACCTACTTATTTAATTCAGGAAGAAAAAAAAACACACACACAACACAACTGTTGCATTGGTCAGAAAAACAAAGTCAGTATGATCCAATGTGCACATGCAAACACAGGTATGGTAGGCATGTGTAATGTTGCAGGCGTGTGGGGAATGCCGGGCCTGTGAAAGGCTGCAGCTGACAGCTGTCACCCGTGTCAAGATGTGACCATCTCTTCCCAGGCTCTCATCTGCCTGTCTCTGTATCTGTCTCTCTCTCACACACACTCATCTGCTCTCTTTCTCACATCATATGTCTTTTCTTGCACACTCGCACCTTAATATCCGCTGGCACGCATAGTGTAATTTCACATCATAGACACCTCGTCCTCTTTTTTTTTTTTTTTTTTTTTTTTTTTTTTTTTTTTTTTTTTTTTTTCTTCTTCCCCTCCTTGTAAACAGTCCCTCCTGCTGATATCAGGAGATATTCTTCAAAGCTTTACTTATCAACACGCCAAAGTCCAAAAGTGCTCTGTGCAGGGTCACAAGCAAACTGAGCCACTTCAGTTTCACCCCTCTTTGTATAGCTCTCCTACACTCTACTTCAATTGAAACCTTTTCACAATTGAAGCCTGAGTTTTTCCCTAAAAACTAAATTGTATTTTGTTAGTTACGTGATTTTCAGACCACAAGACGCAAACATGCAAGGAAGCTTCTTACTCGGCTCCAGTATCAATCCGTTCGTCGTCTAGTTGTGGGTTGCTGGTGCTTTTATTTTCTTAATGTCAACGTTTTTGGATGCTCCATCTCCTCCACTTGTTTGTCTTGCCCCAGCTACATTCCTGGTATAGTTGTAAATTGATCGCTAGGTTATTAACACTCAGTAGACCATGACAATTTCTCGGCTCACTGAGCACAAGCAAAGAATGTCCTAATATGGGCGGTAACTCAAATAACAGTAAAAAGCACTCGCACTAGAGACCATTCATTTAAAAAAACAAATGGTCAGGGACTGAAAGGAGGGTTGTGAAGGTGTATCTTAAAGTTTTCAGGAGGAAGTAGGCATCAAAAGTTATGGAACATTTTATATCAGGAATTCTGAGCAGGTTTGTTCTGAGTGTATTTTCCCAATATTTCCATATTTTGTGCAATCCTGCATATATGTTGTTTAAACTGCTGTTGATGCCCTTTGTAGTTCACTTGTAGTTCAGTTTTTTGGGGAACTAACTTTCCTGCACACTGCCTTGTACTTTCAAGTGAATCTCTACACTTCCATGTGATGTACAGTCAGAGGAACAGCTCAGGCAGAGCACCAGTTATTTAACAGAACTAAAGGTTTTGTAGCTTCATTGTAACATTAACAGGATTATTGACACTACTGCTGGTGTAGAAATCTTAATGTTTACCTTTCTACTTCGTAAATGTATAATTGTTGAATATTGATTCTTGAAAGAAGTCTTACTAGAAATTTACAGATGATTTTTGGGTTAAACAGTTTAAAAAAGGACACACGTTTGATGAGCTAGGGGTAAATTAGGATTTTGGGACGAACACAGGGCTCATTACAACATTGGAAAAATATGAGTCCAGAAAGAGAGTTCTGGGCACTCTAACATTGAGTAAAGGAGAAGAGGCTCAGGGCTATTCATGAAGTCATTATTAAGCCCTTAATAGCAAGGCTAAAGAGAAATATTTCAAAAGCTGACGTGTTTTAACAGATCATGCACTAATGAGGGCCATGCTGGTTGAAACATGTTGGCTTTTCCACTTTCCTTCCAGATAAGTCCCATTCGAGACTCTTTGTCCTTTTTAACTGTATTGGATATCACTTAATTCTTTCCAGACATCCACAGGAAAATAAAAATGGTATCACCCAACGAAAGAATGGGTTCAGAGATGCCAAGAGCAACAGCAGCAACAGCTGTTTGATGGTGTTTCATGTTTAAAGGGGGGGATGTGTTAAAAGCAGCATCTGGACCATGTTTTCTGAATATGGTATTTACCCTAAGCCTGACCTTTTCTCAGAGGTAGAGTTGTATTAATAGTATTTGCATAACTCCAAGAGAGATGGTGAGTTACATGTCACTATTAACTGTACTGGTGTGTTTTTCAGATGAGAACGTTCAAGAGATGGCTGAAGAGTTGGTGCAGCTGGGCTTAATCAGTGAGGTGGGTGTTTTGTGTGTTAAAGAGAGATTCAGTGTGTGTGTGTGTCTGTGTGTGAGCAAAGCTCTAGGCAAACGTGTGTGGGTGGTTCTGTAGGTGAGTGTGTTATTTTTGTACCAAACAGTGAAAATTCAGCTTCTTTTAAAAGGTGAGGTGACCCTTGACTCTTCTTCATACCATCCATCACGTACACAACTACGCCTCTAAGAGCACATTCGCTGCTCTATATGTACTGTTGTGCCCACCTACCTACCCACCCATGCTAATGTAATATAGCCACTTCATCTCTTTGTGGGTGAGAGCATATGTCGGCGTTTGTCTTCATGACTTACTCCTCTTAGTGGATTTCATGGACACTTAAAACCTGTTGGACTGACTTCCTGTTTGTCAGTGTGTGTGTGTGTCTCAGCTGTATGAGTGGGCTGTATCTCCACTGTCTAACAGACTGGTTTATCTGTTACCTGTAATGTCCTGGATTGTTGAAATGGTTGTTTTCTGTTCACAGGTGGACCAAAACAAAATAGCCGCTCTACTAGAAGAATCCTTCAGCCAAGCTCTTCACTAGCAACGGTTTCCTCAACTATGTTACTGTCTCATAAGTACACTCACAACCCTGTTACATGTTCTTTTTGGTTACTCAACACGGTGACTATATTTAGTGCTTTTTTTTTTTTTTTTTTTATGTCTTTTCTACTAAGCCTTAGGTGGTAATGTGACCAAAAGGGTGGGATTTCTCCTCTGCATCAGGGATTAAAACTTCCAAAAGCACAGAAAGCCTTTACCATAAAGCATTTATACAGGAGTCCAGATGACTCCAAAAGAAGGTCACCTGGATTGATTTCACGTTTTTATTGTAAAAGTCAAAACATACATGAATATGTGTTTAATTTCTTTGACTGCGTTGGCTGTTAACCTCATTAATGCTGCAGCAGGCACGTGATCACAACAGTACTGACACAATTACTGACAGCTTTACTTTTTTTAAACCACTTTTTTTTCCTCAAGCCCCCGTTGTATTTTAGTGTGAGGTGTTTATGTATTGAATCGCCCAATGGGATGAGACGGCTCCCTTTTGTTTTGCAAAAATATGAAATATATCAACATTCCCGCCTCTTTGACTTGTCTGTGTTTGACCCTCCTGTCACCAGCAGGTTAAATATATGTAATAGTTTGAAAACTGGATGGCAGAAGCAGCTTTATCAGTTGACTTTATTATATATATATATATATATATATATATATATATATATATATATATATATTATCGACTATATATAAATAAATAAATAAAAGCCTTCGATACAGAACAAAATGTATGTGCACAACTGCATATCACATGTTGGGCAGGCGTCAAGGCAGCTCTCTCTGGATAGTGGCTACTTGGTTACTTTGAGGTACTGTGAACTTAGTGTTACTGAATTTTCGTTTGTGTTTTTTTATGTTTCACTCTATTGTTTGCCTTATGCTGGGCCCACGCACATGCCTTAACGTCCTCTTTTCTCAGTTTGTTTGTATTATTTTATGCATTGTTTAACCATTTGCTGCTTGTTGGGTTCACACATGTTACTCTTCCTGTAAAACCCATTCATGTGAGACTTGTGTACTGAACTCAGCTGCCATATGTTATAGAAAGAGGACCGAGCCTTTTCCTGATACATCTGTATGAGAGCCTCATATGTTTTATTTATGTTTAAGACACTGTATAGCATGTGTTTTCCTTCACTTATTTCCCTTATGTTTACTGTGATTTCACACACAGACCACATTGTTGAGAGTCTGAGCCAAAACACAACGTCTCTTGTTTCTATTGCTTTTGTTTGCATTTGATCACCATTTGATAAAACTGGGACCTTCACAGAGCGCAGAGGCTCCTGAATTTGAATACAAATTTGTACATCAAATATGTCTTTCTTCGACTTCTATTGGAATCAGGGAGTCTCCTGTGGCCTTTTATTTTGTGACATTTTGGCTCAGCACTCTTTGTGGCCAACTGGTACTACTGTCTCTGAACACTCGTACAATTCAGGAACTTAAACCGGCAGGAAGAAAGCAAAGACAATATAACATTCTCAGTATGTATAGAAAAAAACGCAGTTACGATACTATTCGATATAATAACTTACCATTTTTCTGGCATTTTTTTGAGACTATACTTGAAGTGTCTTATAATTACAGTGACAGTTTAAATTAGTCACCTCACCAGTGAGATCATAATAATCCAACGATCTCCACTCATATATTTCTGAAAAATGTACTCCGGCTACTAATGTTCTCCAATCTGCATTTTTGCTATACATACATGTGTAGTCCATCTTAATGTTTATTTTGTTTTCTGTTTGTGAACTGCTGAGATTGTATATTCCAAAGATATGTTTTAAAATCAGCCAGGAGAATGTAAGTGCATTTCATGTACAGAGAAGTGTTAAAAACCAACCAATGTGATCACCAGACCAGCTTTATATTCTCTCTCTCTCTCTCTCTCTCTCTCTCTCTCTCTCTCTCTCTCTCTCTCTCTCTCTCTCTCTCTCTCTCTCTCTCTCTCTCTCTCCGTCAGTGTTTACTATATTTTCCATCCAAATTATTGATGGTGTTGAAACTGGTTATTAAATAATCATACAGGGTGGGCAGCTTTTGCCCGTAACTCGAGGATGTGAGCTTTGTATATGCTTCCATTTTGTACATGACATGAGTGCCAGTAAATGCGTGTGTCATTTCTGAGACGTGTATCCTGACAGAATCTGCAAAGTATGACTATTCTTTCAAATAAATGTGTGAAATTCTTCACTTTGTTGTTTTTAGCAGGAAGGAAGTTTTAAACTTAACCTTTATTATAATCGTCATTTTATACATTGTACATATATGAAGTTTTGTTTTTGGCTTTGTGTGTTTAGATTTTTCAGGTTTTGTGACTGATGGTGTTTGTGAGAACGATGCAACAAAGACGCTTATAGTGAATGTGGAATGACTTTTGCGCCCCTCGGCGTCCAGCAAGACGCAGGTAATTCACAGGTGTGTTTCCTGACGTCATACAGGAAGTGAACAGAGGGACGTTTGGAGTTTCTGCTTCTGAACAGTTGCTCGAAAACTACGGTCATTTATTTATTCAAAAAGGGAAACCGCCCGACACAGCAGAGATGTGCACGTTTGGTGAGTACTTCTATCGCGACTTGTTATTAAAAACGCCTCGCGTTCGGTAAGTAACGTTGTGGAGGTTGTGTGTCCGACGCTAGTTTCCCCTCCACGAGCGTAACTGACCGCTGGCCTGCAGGTAGGATGTTTTCACTTCTGAAATCTCCGCGTGTCGGTGTGAATATAACATGAATTACTCTTGTTTTATCCTAGAGTAAATGTCATGTCAGCATTAAAATAGACTGACAAGAGAAGAGGTTGGTAATTTACATGTTGTGAACTATCACGTCATGCCCTCACTGCTTCCTCACATCCCTCAGTACACAAAGAGCCACCCACGGTGAGTGTAGCCATTCTATGCAAATACATCCCTAAGCAAACAGTGTAATGTAGAACAATCCATGCTTTAGGCATCCAAAGCATTACTGTTGACAATTGTGTTTATCAGAAATAAAATCAAATGGACACATTTTTCATTTGTTGCAAGTTTATTGTTTGATGTTTGTGACCAGATAGCCCAAAATTTGACTTAATTTTCATATGCAAGTCATGCTGCTGTTACTGTTTATACATCACCGATGGCATTAAATATACTTGCTGCACAAAATATAGGCCTTTGGATATTGGTGATATAAATGCACTGTATATATGTGCATGAAATATAAGCACAAACATGTATGAATGCATTCTGGGAAATCAGGTAAATGTCATAGCAAGACAGAAATAAGTCATTTAACAGGATTATTTGTCTTTGTTTGACTTTTTAAACTCTAATATTGGTATCAGTGTTGGCCCTCAAAATCCAGTATCAGTCTGGCTATAACACAGAATGAATATGAATTGTTGTGTTACTATGTTTGTGTACAACACAGTTGTGAAAGGTAGAAGAATTTATTGTTACCCTGTAACCAACCAGTTTCAAACTTTCACTCAGGGAATGTTTTAGATCATATAAGCTGTATCTAATAATAATAATATAAATGTATGTCTTTTTTTGTAATTCCGTCATCCAGATAAGGACAAAGGGCCAATGAGGCTGATGAAAATGGGATTAACCCTCATCCTGATCGGCCATATCAACTTCATTCTTGGAGCTATTGTCCATGGCAGTGTCCTCCGCCACATTTCCAAACCCAGCCAGCATATCACCACTGAATACACCATAGCCAACATCATCTCAGTCACATCTGGCCTGCTGGTGAGTCAATAGTTAAGACATTCATCCTTTGTGCCAATGTCAAATCTGCAGTGTGCACCAAGAGGTTTACAGAACTTTCAAAAGCAAAGTAATCCTGATCAAAATGTGAGTTATGAAAAAAACTATGTTGATTTCTTCCCTGTGACTTTCCGTGCTCAGTGCATTAGAATAACTGACTAACTAACATGCAGTAAACATCAAGCATGATTTCCATCGTTCACTCTGGATAGTGTTGTGTATTTTTCTGAGCAATCGAGACTCAACTTGCCACTTATTATAACTGAGCTGGTTTTTCAAACCTGTTAGTTGCTCCAGGGTAGGCTTCATTAGATTGAAGTGTCAGATAAACTGGCAGCTGTTGATGATGAGATGCTGTTAATGTCAAATGTACGCCATACTATGTACTCTACACGGGGTATTACAGCACAGAAAGAACAAAAAGATATCTTACCAGCACTGCTTGGCATTTGTGATTTCTCACTTACTGCCATTACTAAGACCATTTTTGTGAGACTTGTGTCTGAAGTCTACTTAGCCTGGCCCCCGAATGAAAAATGCAGCCTCAAATCCTTGGGGCCAGGATTACTACTTGTGGCACATCATTTAATAAACCCTACTAAAGCTGAAACAACCATCTTGTCATTTGAATCTTCCAGAGCATTGCCACTGGGATTATTGCCATTGTGGTGTCAAGGAACCTTCCAGTGTTAAAACTCGTAAGAACGTTAATTTGTTTTCAACTGCTGATTTAATCACTCCAGTCAATTGTTTTGTGTTGGTTCAATAGTTACCTCGCCTTCTGTTTTATATTGTTTTGTCTCTGCCTCTCCAGCAAATAGGACTTCTAATAGCATCATTCCTGAATGCCCTGCTCTCAGCAGCATGCTGCGTTGGGCTCTTCTTGGCAATAGGTATCACTGTTGCCCACAATGGTGAGGGTTTGATGCTGGGATGCAATGACACAGAGGTGCCCATCAACGCTCGGTCACCTGTCAGTGCCAGATGCCCGTTTGATACCACACGAATCTATGTGAGTCTAAACTCTTCTCTTACATTTTCATCTCACGTCATACTTCTGCACTTTTCCATTTTTCCCCCCAATTAGATCTTTGTGGCACATTTCAAGCTGCAACTTTTGAGGCATGAAATTCCTTAAAAGCATCACAGGAGAAATGTTTGACCTTGTGGTGTTTCTTTATTGCACACTTTTTCCTCCACGTTCCCATCACTTCCTGTCTCTCAGGACACCACCCTGGCACTGTGGATCCCTTGTGCTCTCTTGGCAGCAGTTGAGGTTGGAGTGTCTGTCTGGTGCTTCATCGTTGGATTGGCTCTCAGAGGGCTGGCACCCTGTGGGAACAGCTACATCAAAGAGCAGGTGTGTGGGGAGCTGTGTGTCTGTCTGAATCTCTGTCTGACTCAGATGTACACACACACACACACACACACATATTGTTCTATCCCAAACACACACACAACCCTTCCACTCTCATCTACTCCCACTTGGTCTGTCATACTCCTCTCCTCTAGGTTAAAAGGAAAAGACAAACCTACTCACTCATGATGACTGAACACAGACTATGTCCTTCCTTTCTGTTTTCCAGTTGGAGGCAGAAGCTGAGTGCGCTCCCCAAAGCCAACGCCTGATTGGACGGCGCTTGAAACCTGACGTCTAACTGAACAAAAAGCAGGAAGGACACCACTCTGTGTGGACAAGCACAGCTAAATCCCAAAAGGCATTGCTGCACCTGTGTTGAGACAAGTAGATTTTGCCCTACAGTCAGATAGGTGAGTGTTACTGTGGAACAGGAGTGAAATCAGTTTTAAGAACCTGGTTCTTGCTCTGCAGTATCATACAGCCACTTACCCTGATTCATGGATGGGTTATTTGTTTTCATTTATTAACCAAAACGTTTATCTTGTGTGTGAATCATTCGCAGAATGAAGTTGGGTTGATGTCAGTGCATCTGTCCCTGGTGAAACTCATGGTAAAATATTTGACAGTGAAACATCCCAAAAATATATTCGCACAATGTACGTTTCAGAAGGTGCAGTCCAAAGCGCAGATCCTTTTGTGCAGATATTGGGATTCAGTGAACATATACAGTATGTGTGTTGAAGCTACAATGAGATTTAAATGTAGTCTTATGAATATCCATCCATGTTCAGGTTTAATAGTGCCATATGTCATTTCTTTCACCATGAAGAAACCTCTGTTTATGAAGAAAACACATTTTATTATCAAGCAAAAATGTTTCTCGATTATTTTTAGCTGAATGAAGGTATATTTGAGCTTTTATAAACTCATATTTTATTGTTCTTAATGTTTTTAGTATTATAGTGTTTGTATGGATTTTAAAACACTCGGATGCATTCAGTAAACCATTGTGCGTTGTGTTTGCCATAAAATGCCAAAGTATCTTTAATTCTTTGCAGATACAGTATTTGCCTTCATATTAAATTGGACATGCTAAATTGCACTTCTTGAAAGTAGTTTGTATTATATGTGTTGCTGTGGCTTTATGTTGCAGGTAAACCCTTGACTAGTTGAATTTCATAGAAATATGCTTCAGATAGAAAACACAAATGATGTGAAAATGTAGGGCTGATAAACTCCTATATAGCGTACTCCACTATACTGTGGTTGAATGTCAAGTGGGGTCATGTTAAGAGGTTAAACCAGAATGTGGGCCAGCCGCCTCAGCTGGCACAGACACCCCCCCCCCCGCCGCCCCACAAGGCAGCGACAGAGAAGATCCGATCAGCGCTGAAACGGTTAATCTAATGCCATGCTCAATTGTGTGGAACGGAATCATAGCACGCAGTACTAATCCTCGGGCTGTAAGGGATAAATATTGACATCGTGCTGACTGACACAATCCCAACAAATCTGTTTTGCCATTTCAGAGTACACTCATTCAATTTATATTTGAAATTACAAGATGAAAATGAGGTCAGCTTATTGTTGAATACGGTTAAATTAACTGAATTCAAGTAAAGTCACATGTTGTGATATTATAGTGTTGGCATTTTCAGAAGGGCTTAATTGCATATAGTATATACAGTATGTGGTTCTTGGGGACATCTTTTCCTGTGAAGTAATGGATCTCCCATATCTGAAGTTTATATATGCAGTCCATTTATAAATGCAGCCTATCAAAATGTATTAATTTAAATCAATAATTGACGATCTAGCAAATCGCTTATTTGTGAAAGGGTATTTATTGTGACTTAGATTATCATCCATTAAATGAGCATGCGTTATTTTCTTGAGATTTATTGTGTTGAAAACCTACATTTATGCAAATGAAAAAAACACATTGATTTGAATTTATGGTAGATAATACAAAACTTTCAGTGATTGCATTGTTGTTTTCTGAGAAGAATTCTAATCTCTTTAAATAACTGGAGCAGGACGGCCCAATAGGACAAAATCGATCACTAATCTTTTCCCCCTGCTGCAGCTGAGATGTAAACTCTAACGTTTGTTAAAGATGTTATATTTTGTAACAATGCCTGATTTTATTTTTTTTAATTTACAAATTTGGATGTGTGAAATGCTTAATTTTTTTTGCTTTATGGTTTTATAGCAGTATATACGTTTAATGTATCATTTTTAATAAAGATTTTTAATAATGTTAACTTTGTTATGCCTGTCCATCATATTTTTAGTTCACATCTTCTCTACATGAAGACTGCTTGCACCTAACCCCAGAAGTAATCAGTTAGTGTCTTCCTTCACTTCAGTGGCAGTTTTTCTTTTTTTAATTTATTAAAATTATTGGCGGCTGTTATTTTATGTACAGTAAGCCTGCAGCAGGCAACGTCCAGTGGGGCCAATTTTGTCATGTCCTTGCGCGGTCACGATGAATCCGCGTGCACGATTGCAACCAGCTGCAAACGGAGAAACGGCGAAGTACTGCAGTGAACGGAGCCGAGGAGCGCCCGAACCGCTCGTTACATTTCACACCAGGTAAAGCATTTCTAATTGTAACATTAGACGGGTACTATGCGAGTCGTTTAGTTCATGTTTTGTCGGTAAGACAGACAGACTTCGCCTAATGATGCTGTAAAGGAATCGTGCACAAACAGCGCGCTGTTGGGCTGCAGACGCTGCGGTGACAAACACAAGATTGATACGCTCTCGTGTGCTTGTCACCGTGTGATTCTCGTCTCAACACAACGAGGATGCCTCCCTGAAGCCCACCTTTTTAAAGGTTCGTGCTTTCTGCAACCAGCCAGGTTCTCCTCAAACAGGAGCTAACGTGAAGGGATGTGTCCTGTAACGCCACAGAGGTGTTTAGTACAGTTTAACGTGGTCATTGTAGTGGTAACGCTAGCTAATAACGTTACCTGATGTTGCTTGGATTTGAGAACGATTTGACGCATGTGTAAATAAAATCTCAATTAATGGAGATTCCTATTTGCGCTCTCGCTACAATAGCACACTACCCACGTTTACAGTGTAGTCAACCATAAAGACACCGAGTCGCAGAGTGTGAAACATCGCAGGGGAACGCTACTGTTGCCCCGGTCAACCTCACACAAACACGAGAGTGGGGGAGTCTGTGATCATCCGCAGGTGTAGCGTCCACAGTCGCTGCTTGAAACTTAAAAAAGCGGCACAAGTTCTCGTGCTTTTCTTTGAACGTTGTCTGCAACGTGAACTGCGAATGACCCGCCTGCGGAGACAACGCTCATAGACATCAGACATGGCAGAGTAAATACACAGTCTGTCGTGGTCTTGCAGAAATGCCTACATAGGACGAGCATCAGATACGCTTTAATCGTGACTTGTATAGAGACAACAAGGGTGTGGCTGATAAGAGACAATGCAAGATACAGTAGAGCTTTACTCAAAGCAAGCCCACTCCACTTGTTTGACCATTAGGCCCCTTCTTCTTTGTGTGTTTTAAACCTGCAGGACCTGCTTGATGGATCCACTCCAGTGTGGCAACTGAATGTTGAAGACAGGACTTTGTATCTTCCGGTGGAATCTGTGAAATCATTTGGAGGATGATCACCTGTTGTGGGCTCAACTTCAGATGGTTCTTGGAAACATCACTGGACATGGAGTGAGGGGAGACACAGACAAATAAGAGTGGAAGAAAGAGATGTCCAGTAGCCCAGAGGAGACCTCCGCCCCTCAGCTGTTGGTGGATTTGTTATCTCAGCGACATGCTTTCAGTTTGAGGATGAAATCTGTTTGTAAAAAGAGGGGATTACCAGGAGGTCGAGAGAAGCCATGTTTTTTTTAAATGAGGAACAATCCAGCACATTCTGAAGAAGAAAAGAAAACAAGAAAAGCAAATACTACAATGACAGGTGAATTCGAAGACTGACACAAAGAGCAGCTCCATTCATGGCCGACAGAGGAATTGCGGCCTCATGTGCAGTTCATGGTACATATACAGAGGTTACCCGTCTTGTGGATTTCTTGCTTTTATCTCCACCACAAACAATGAAAGTGGACTCGGTTGCTTCTAATGTTGAGCTTTAAGAACAATTCCAGCATGTCTTCAGGGCTATCTAGTGGTGGTCTTGATGATGATAAAGTCATCAGACTGAGCCACTGTGGAGAAATGTCTAACATTAGGATCCAAGCACCTGTTGGAAGAGGATTTATGAAAGACTGGTTTTCAAAAACTACAACAATCTGCTGCAGACAACGAGTTCCCATCTGTTTTTCTGCCCTCTTCATCCCTATCATCCTACTCCTCTTGTCTGTGGTCAAACCCGCTCTGTCCATTCATATGGAGTCCTTAGAGAGCCACAGTGAGTTTAGCTGTGAGCCCATCAGACTGAGAATGTGCCACGATCTGCCTTACAACACCACCTTTATGCCCAATCTACTGAATCACTATGACCAGCAGACAGCTGCACTGGCCATGGAGGTAGGTCGTTTTTTTCTGTGGCATTTAGTCGTTGCATGCTTTGTGTGTGTGTGTGTGTGTGTGTGTGTGTGTGTGTGTGTGTGTGTGT